AGGGAACATTATATTCAGCTGGATCAAAACAAGGAGGTACACGATAGATATTTTGTACTCGATCATTTCGATAAGAATTTGATATATTGATCTTTAGATTTTTGGAGTTCATTCTTCAGCCATTAGTCTTACAGATCCCAAAGATTGTAAGCTCTTCCCTCGTCCCCTAATTGCTAAAGCACGAGGTGGAAAGTATGCAAGTTTATTAGACTTGACAGTTGATTTCATTCCATTGTTTTGAATTTTTGATGGATCCATGTAAACCTAGTAGAAAAATCACTTCATTGTTGGTTCATCCAATAGGGAAAAGTGATTGAACATGTTTTCAATACTACATCCCTTTCGATAGGTACAACTACCAAGATAAAACAATATTAACTATAACAAGAATAGCTTTTTGGAATTAAAAAATGACATGAAGTTGACATTTTGAAAGTGGTTAATTTTCAAATATCTAAAACCTAACTAATCTACATCTGAAAATACTGACAGTAATGTGGTCAAACCAGAAATAAAATATCAGTTTCAGAACATGGATATCATGAAAGATTCATTGACAAGTAAAAATATTGAATCACAAGTCACTTAGAATCTACGCATAAAATCTCAACAAACATCAATATTTTTAATCACAATTTACATGTAAATAAATAATATTATGTTACTACTAATAAATGGTCCATATATAAGACCAAACAGAAAAACACGAAGAAAATACTTGAAAATAGAAACTAAAACATCAAGGGTATTTTTAGGATCAAATTCAAAACCATAGTATAATAAAATGAGAACTCAGAAATAAAACATGAATTCAAAGTCAGAACTGCCTCCTAGATTCCTTGAAGCTATGTTGAATATTAATCCTCTTTATCAACAACATCGAATGAAGCACGAGCTTGAACCTTTTGTACAATAAGTCTTCCATTATTTACAAGATCATCAACATAAAACACTTGTGACGCTTAATTGGCTAAAATAAAAGGCTCATTTATTTTCAGAAATCGCTTGCAGTTGACACTTACAGAGTCATATTCATCTACTTTAATTTCTCTTTGTTGATCATATACGTCAAAAAACACATATCGAAATAAAACGTTACTTCTCCCACCAGTAAATTGAAATTCAAGAATATCGTTTAGCTCTCCATTATAATCAATATTTTTATTCTCCTCATCTGTCTCACAAACTATAACCACCCCACAATTTTGAGTTCTCAAACCTTTATCATGATCTCGCACATGAAACATATATCCATTAGTAACATAGTTTGTAAAACTTGTCACATATGGAAGAGGACCACGTGGCAATGAGAGCAGATCTTTTATTTTCTTACTCTCGTCGTGTTTGTGCAATTCTCAACCTATCAAATTTAAGTACATTGTTTAGAAAATATTGTTCATAATTTGATGTTATACATACAATTACTTAACTTATCACCTTTAATTTTAACCAACTAACGAATTGTCTATTCCATTAAATTTCTGAATGATTTTTTGGATGTACCAATTGAAATTTGTGAAAAATCTCAGCAAATAATTTAAAGTATAAAATGTCATTTTATGGAAGGATATGCAAAATATAAGAGTAAATTATATCAATGAGTCATTACTTACTCCAGAAATGGTTGAATTATATCAATGTTTTTCAAAATATAAAAATTTGCAATCTCAATTTCTCTTGAATCATGATTGAATGGTTTTTCACCCGTCAAACTATTTTCGAGTTGAGAAAAAGTTTCTAAACCTCCATCAGATTCATTAGAACCACCATCATAATTCCTTTCATGGAAATTTAATTTTGTCTCCATCGTATCGAAATAACTTGAACATAAGGTCATACAGTCAAATGCTATATATCCCGGTGCAATACAACCTTCTAGGCAAGCAATGTTACGAATATATGATTTTAGAAAGTATAGACATCGATCTACTGGATACATCCATCGATATTTGATAGGTCCAGCAATCATAGCTTCATTATCTAAACGAATTGGCAAGTGGACCATGATATCAAAAAATGCAGGAATGAAGACCTTTTCTAACTTGCACAAAGTTATTGGAATTTAGGTTCTATTTACTCTAGCTCATCTACTCTTAAACATTTTGCTTTTAGTATCTTAAAAAATATTGACAACTCAATAAGTGGTTCAAAAGCAGATTTACAGAGCAAACCATTTAAAGCAAGTGGAAGTAAATGTTGTAAAATATCATGGAAATCATAGCTTTTCAATCCTGAATGTTTCCGATCATTAAAGTTGACACATTGAGAATTATTTGATGAAAACCCATCTGGGACCTTTAAATTATTTAAGAAAGTGAAGAATTTGTTCTTTTCTGTAGAATATAATGTGTGACATGGAGTAGGTAACTCATATTTATCCCTTTTCTCTATCGGATGCAATTCTTTTTTTATCTTCATTGCTTCCAAATCCAATCGAGAATTCAAGGTATCTTTGGTTTTTCCTTTGAAATTTAATATTATCCCCAAAATATTATCACTAACATTTTTCTCAATGTGCATCACATCTAAATTGTGTCGCAACAAAAGAGTATTCCAATATGGAATATCAAAGAAAATACCCTTCTTGTTCCAATTATCAACTCTATTCTTGTGTGATATTTTAATATTTTTCGTTGGATCATTTGTTTGTGTTAGACCTTCTAAATCACCTACTTGATGAATTATATCATTAAGAGATAACATTTTTGGTAGTAGTTATTGCTCATTTGTGCCATAAAAGGAATCTTTTTGTTTCCTCCATTTGTGACTAAGAGGAAGAAAGCGTGTATGATGCATATAACACTCCTTTTGACAATTTACAAACCTTATTGAAAGAGTTTCTTTATTGCAGCATGGGCAAGCTAATTTTCATTTGTTACTCCATCCTGACAAATTTCCATATGCTGAAAAATCATTAATGGTCCATAACAAAACTGCATGTAGCATAAAATTATGTTTAGATGACGTATCAAAGGTCTCAACTCTAGTTTCCCATAATTCCTTTATTTCATCTATCAAAGGTTGGAAAGAAACATCAATTGCATCCCCCGGACATTTAAGACCAGGAATAAGCATCGATAAAATAAAATTTTCTTCTTCATGCATAACCAAGGTGGCAAATTATAAAGAATAAGTACGACGGGCAAAATGTTATATGGGGTTTTTGAATTCTTAAATGGTATAATATCATCACTAGCAAGTCCAAGTCGCATATTACGAGGCTCATTACCAAAAGATGGATGAAGTTCATCAAGTCTCTTCCATGAAACTAAATCAGTTGGGTGTCTCATTATTTCATCATCAACTCTTTCATCATGATGTCATCCCATAAAAGAAGATGTTTTCGAGGACATAAACAATCTCTGAAGTTTTGGATTTAGAGGAAAATAACGTAAATTCGTGCATGGTTTTTTTTACCACGTTTACATTGTGTTTCCCCATTACGTCTATTTTCCTTCCATCTAGATGCGCCACACACTCAATGAAATTCAAGAATCTTATCATCCTTCTAGTATAACATGCAATTGTTCCTGCACGCATCTATATTATCATAAGAAAGTCCAAGATTTAAAATTACTAACTTTGCCTCGTAATATGAATCTGGCAAGTTTGATCCATTAGGCAATAAATGTTTCGTTAGCATCTACAGCAACATTGTGAATGGAGCATTACTCCATTGGCCAATAGTTTTAATATGAAGTAACTTAATCAAAGTAGAAAGTTTTCTTGCTTTCAAACCTTTATATAATGGTTGTTTATAATCATCTAATAGGCCGTAGAATCATTTTGCTTCAGGGTTTGGTTCTTCCCAAATAAAATCATTACTGTTAGTGTTCATATTCCCTTCAGTGATATCAGGGTGTAAATCAAGTAAGAGCTCATGCGTTTCATCCTCATCATCATCATTTTCAATGTTATTATTCGCTACGAATTTAGAATGTGACTCTGGTTCACCAAAACTCTCCCCGTGATGATACCAAAAAGTATAACCCTGAATTATTCCATACACTAATAGATGTGACCTAACCATCTCACGAATTTTTGAAGATGCATTACAACACTTGATCTTCAACAAGTTCCATCCATTACTTATTAGGTGCCATTAATCTTCATTCAACAAAAGATATTATAAATACACCAGTATAAGTAAGAACTAACCACTTATTGTTTAAAAGTTGAAGAAAACCTCTTTTTGAAAGATTCTAGTAAGTTTCAAAAAACTACTTATGTGATTTTTAATTCGTTATTTGTTTAGTGATTGTTGCAATTATAATTTTTTTTAAGTTTTTTTTATAGATTAGATAATTATTTTGTCTTTTTGGGTATTAAATATGATAAGAAGATACTTAACATAGGAGTGATGTTTCAGTTATAACTTTTAGATGATGGATATATATATATATATATATATATATATATATATATATATATATATATATATATATATGGATACTATTTTAAATAGTAAAGACATATATGTTAGTGAGAAGTGTAGTGAAAATGACATAAAAATACTGTAAAACAAGAAAGGTGTGATTCTTAAATCATGCACTTATTTGAAAAACAAATTGCCAAAAGATTTGACAAATTTGATACAACTTTATTCTTTTTTAAGTACAATAACTAGTAATCATTTATATGACTGACTAACAAGCTAGCTAAGATTACTAGTCAATTAAAATACTATCTATCACTTAAGAAAGACATACAATCATAAGACGTTTTATATTTAAATGTATCTCAAAATTGGTTACTCTTTTAGATAGGAGGTTCATTCAAGAGATTCTATTACTTTTATGAGAATATCAAAACTTTTTAACACTCGTAGGTTGTCATTTCGGACTTATCAAAATTATTAGTACTTCGTTACTAACCATGATTTGTTAACTTTTAGTTATCACCATAAGGGACTGCAATTTTAATTCCTAACATATCATTAGTAAGAACAAATCCTCATACTACGATAATTAGTTTCTTACCTAATGCCATGTGAAGAATTGTTTTTATATATCTAATGCTAGCTATGGGATAGCACTTTGGAAATATATTTGCAACTTGGGTAATGAATTCTTAAAAAAGTTACAGTTATATTCAGGTAATGGAGAGCATGACAAATTTTTTAAAGATAAATTGCTTGGTTGGAACACCTTATCCCGGTTTATATGATATGGAACTTCACAAGGTCCTCTAAACTGCATATCTTCACGCACATTTCATCTGAAATTCTAAAGCCTAGGAGTTAGAGGTCTTGCTGAAATTGATAGCCAACATCGATGCAAGTATTCTGCACATAATGATATACACAAGTAAAGAAAATGTCTTTGTCAAAGAATGCTATGGTCATATTGGAAACAAAGATCAGGTTATAAACTATTGGCCCTAGAAATTGATTTAAAGAACAATACATACTAAGAACGGGGTCTTTAGTTTGTTAACCCTTAACAATGTCAATCATTCTATAGCAAGCCTAAACATGAAAGGATATTAGTTTGTTACTGATGTTGTCTTTATAATTGTCGAATTAAAAAGTGTTCACGTAAAATTACAATGAAAAACCAAATTACAATCAGAAAACGATTTGGTACATAAATATATGCATTCCTGTTCACACCCATTTTCAACTAAATTGTTCCTTTTCAGCTTCTTAGCATAAACTATTGGTGAGAAGAGCAAAGGTGGATAAGATACTAATTTTATCTTGTTAAGTCTAGACAAAGTAACGACCAAATGTAAGGTTAACAAGAAAGAGATATAACAAACAACATTTATCATGACCAAACTGTTGAATGACTAATAGATCAGAGGAAGTGAAGTTCTCTGAACAAGAAAGATATAAAAGCACCAAACTACTAAATCACATGAACTTTACTCTTCAACTTGGCTTAGGACTTACTAAACGTATTAATTATTATTTCCTTTATCTTTTTTCGGCACAACTCATGTTTCATATTACTTTAGCTACAAAATTATCAGAAAAACAATCAACACTGCACACAATTAATATTTTTCTCATTTAAAAATTAAAATATGTACATTATGGAGACATATGGAAGTTTTATCCATTGTTAGCTAGAAAACCAACAAACAATTTAAATGTATAAGATATAACACACAATAAAATTTATTAATACATTTTCAAAAGTATAAAGTTACCTTGATGAGAAGAACACTCTAAGAACCTATATGTCCGTAGAAATTGACAAGAGCAATACAACCAAATGACCAGGCTTGATGAACAAAAAGTGTTGAGAAGTGACGATGAAAGGTTGTGCTTCTTCTTTTGACACATGCCCCTGTTGAATAAATTTTCAACTTGTAAGAAATTTCCTTTTGAATATATTATAATTAACTAAAAAAGATTCTGTAAACATCATATTACTATAAACTTGCAGCTAAACTCCTAAGGACCCTTAACAATACGTCACCATCTATTAGCAGTAGCTTAAGTAGTAGTTCAATAGGTAGAGCAAAAAATTAGGAGGTAAAGAAACAAATTAGAAGGTAAAGCAACGGGTTAGTCAAAGATCTAAAAAACCTGATGGTAACAACTAAGACGACAACACTACAGCTGAACCAAAACTTTTTACCGTATGCTAAAGCACGCCAATAACATGTAATATACTTTATTTTTATAAAAACTTTTATTTGTAAGCTGTAACAGAAGATATCAAGTTATCACAATAATAATAGTTCCAATAGTCCATCGGCTAAGGCAAACAAACAGATGTTAACATTATGCAATATTTAAGAATACTAGTAAACCATCTAACAAAAGTATTAGGGTTGTCGTGGGGGAGCCTAAAAATCAATTTATCAACGTTAGTACACTCATCATTTCTAATCAGAGATGAAAAATAATGGAGCGGGAATTTAAACAGTGAATTTTTACTGACTTCGTAAAGACAAGGAACTAAGTATTAAAGTTCATATTAGAGGTTATAATACTTCAATTTTGATTTTCCTCTTGTCCTGCAAGACTTGTAAACATTTTATCAATGCCTAAAAAGGAAATTTTACCAATTATTGTTGATAATAGTTTATTATTTGAATTGCATACCATCTTTTATGAACTTAAACATTCCTGAGTACACAACTGACATTCACTTCTAATTGAAATTTAAGGTATACAAGTTCTTGATACTTTTCAAGCTTCTATTCATTGTCTGGCTCACATTCTACATGAATACCAGTGGATCCTCTATCAACTATCTAACTAGATAAACGTAGGCAAATTGGACCACTCGCACACAGAAACAAGCAAGGATGGTGATAATACATATATGGCTAATGTATACGTATGTTCAAGAATACAAAAAAAAAATCCTAGATGAAACCCATTTTTGGGAAAACCCTAAAATTGAGAGAGAGAAAATGAGTAATCTATATATGCAAGTTCAAGAACACCAAAAGAAAAGAACAAAAATGCCTAGATGAAACCCATTATTGGGAACACCCTAAAATTGAGAGAAGAAAAATCGCCCATAATCAAGCGTTCCATAAAGCAATTCATAGTTAAAGTAATCAAATCATACCTTAAAGATATGGAAACACCAAGATAAGGTCTGAATAGTTTCAATCGAAGCAAAGTCAAACCAAGTCAAAAGAAGAAAAATATGATTTCGTTGTTCATCAATCATATAAAAGAGATGAAGATCATAATTTTTATAGCTTATACAAGAGAAACGTGTGCTTTGTATATGCAAATTTCTCTGAGTAACCTTGGAGAGACGCACAAATCGGACTATACTTAGCTGATTTCACTCAAAGATACCATGGTAGAGAAGATGCTTGCGGATTTCCTACAACAATTCATGATTTTCTCCAACCATTGCTATTGATCGTGAATATCTAAGATACGTGTTCCCAAGAGTCTTCTGTTCAATTCTTAGAGAACAGATAGAGTGAAGAAGTTTTTGAGTCGATGTTTTCGATTTTGAAGAAGTTGGTAGAGTGTTTTTGTTAAAAAAAAATAAAAACTAAATTAAAATTTCAGTAATTTATTAGTATATAAATAATTGAATATTAATTATTTTAATGTCTGTATATATTCATAACAACGCTAAAATTAAATTAAAATGGACCTTTAACGATTGTAAAAATAGTGTCGCTATAAATACACTTTTAATAACCAAAATCATATTCCTTTTTTAAGAATTGGTCGTTAAAAGTATAGTTTCTTGTAATGTAAGGAGGCTGTGCGGGTTCGAACCCACAACCTCCCAATTCCAAAAAATTAAGAGGCTGTGGGGGTTTAATTTTACAACCTCTTGATTTAGGCGAAATTGAGCAACAAGATGATAATGAAAAATAAAAAGGGGTTGTAAGGGTTCGAACCCACAACCTTTCGGCCAACCTAGGAGGAAAACAAAGTAGAAAACTAAAGATACAATGTTAATGTTGGGGTTCAATATAGAGTCCCAATATCATGGAGATTAAAAATAAAATAAATAAAAAATGTAAATATAATCCAAGTGACTCAAACATAGGTTTCCTTGCCCAAATTTCCGTTTTGATAAAATAGTCATACATTTACAAAATATCCAAAAATAAAGTCACCTTCTTATATCGAAATCAAGATCCTGCCATATATACAAGATATATAGGTCTTGCACTACATAGTCTTAGGAATGTATGAATCACTTAACAAACTATGAATGAAGCCCCATGGCTTGTGTTTATAGATTCATTAGTATATCATACGTTCAAAAGTAAGTGAACCTAAGATGTATGTAATAAAATGATGAATCCTAGAAGGGTTAAGTACGAGTGTAAGATACACTAAATGGGCATGTGCATTGGCATAAAATAAGATGAAAAATTAAATGAGAAAATGAACAATGAAATGATGAAACCCTAGAAGGGTTAAGTAAGGTTGTGAGACAGACTGAATGACCAAGCGCATTAGCATATGATGAAATGAACAGTCACGTAATAAGAGGCGAGTAACTATGAAAATCAAAGGTGCTAATGATAATGAAAGTGGTGACAATATGATATGAGACTAATGTAAATGATGAGAGCAATATGAAATGAGACTAAATAAATGTCACAAAACATACTAACCTATGAGAGTGTAAGATGATGAAGAGACCATTCTCTATGAACACTCTATTTAAAGTACTGAGCTTAACACACTTAATACTAATGATGATATTAGAAATCGTCTAATGCGCTATGATGTCCTCATACTAGAAGCCAGCTGCCATGACGTATGAGATGAAAGTAATGGAACTTTATATTGAGCACCTATAGGCTAGCTATTAGCGGTGATGCCTTGTTTGGGGAAGGGTGGAGGTTGACATAACTCTCATGAGATGAGACTGTCTAGCTTGCCGGGTACGAGTCTCCTTATACCTCTTAGTCATCGAACCTAAACAACCAATATAGGAATCTAGCGGTATTAAATTCCCATGTACGTTAGCATGTTATTGGTCACTTTGGTCGTAGATTCCACCTAATTTATATGTGGGGAAAACACTGGATTTCATAATGCTCACATGATCTATGTCAGTTATAGGTTAAGTTCCCAATGACTGAATGAGGACATCCTCAAATAATGTACATAATGAAATGAATGTTACCAAAGGTGTTAGGATAGGATAATCAAAACGTGAGTTAGGTTCAAGTAATGACATTAGATCATTCTTCGTTATTGCACAACGAACCTAATGAATGTCTTAAAATACATCCTAGGTATATCCGGTGTTTACACTGGCCTATGAAAGAAATGAAATGGAGTACGTATGAATGAACGAAGCAGACTTTAATTTGCTAATGAAAACTCCCTAGTTGAGGCCCCATCTGATGATCCCTCATTTATGGGATGTCTTGATGTAAAGTCCATGATTCCCAAGTCTCATGGCATATGAATGAATGATATTAATGAAGTTATGTGCTACATGCAAAATGTGTTGTATTGTTATATGATATGTTCTATGTGTAAATGTTATATGCTGTGTGCGACTGTGAAAAGTATGATGATGTAAGTTATTCTCATGACATCAATTTTCTATTCCAAATATAGAAAGCTCACTGACTTTCCTAATTCAAATTTTGAAAGCTCATTGTCTTTCTTAATACAAATTTGGAAACTTTTCTAATCTCAATTTGGCAAGTCCGATGACTTGACTTCAAAAAATTATGTTTTTAGGAAAGAGCTATTCTTTCTCATGCATGTCCTTGGTGTGTGCTTGAATATACCCATAAATAGTACAACTTTGTACTAACCCTATACAAACTCTACTATTTTAGGTGCAGGCACAAATGGACGATAGAGCTAATAGATCTTCGCTGTACTTATTTGCACGTTCAACATTCATCTGGTTTTGGTAGGTCCTCATGCTTTTGAGGATGCTAGTATTTTATATTCTAACTTAGTTTTAGAGTTGAGCTAGTGGAGCATGTTCCACTAGCGTTTTACCTGGTTTTATTTAGACTATGTATTAGTGCCATTTTTGCAATTATACACTTAATAAGAATTGAACTATTTCATTCAGTTGCTTATCTCTTAAATTTATATGGTTGATAGTGAACAATTACGTATTAATGAGAATATTTTTATGAGTATGTTAAGAAAAAAGATTCAAATTTGCCGCAAAAATTAACCAATATAAAGTAAGAATGATGTAAGTAGGCTTGTCTGCGACCTCTTAGAGGTCAACGACACCGGTCTCATCTAGGGTCTAGATTCTAGTCGTGACAAAGTTAGTATCAGAGCACTAGGTTAAATTCCAAAGAATATAAGTTCACATCAACCACGTTGAGTAGTTTCTAAGGCACGGTAGTGAAGTGCACCACTATGTTGGACTAGACTGCATAATGTGTAGGAAAATTTCCGTTCTTCTGATCTTATCGTGATCTTCCTAATGTCTGAGTTATTGGTATTATGAGTGTGTCTAAAATCAGTCCTTTTTATTTTTCAAAGAATGAACACTAGGAGATCTAATGGTTAGAGGAGAGATGGAGCCGCTGCTAGGGTTAATCAGAATCAACCTCAGGCTCCAGTTGAAGGAATGTCCATGCCATTAAACCTAGTTGGGTCGACTGATGCTGAGTGAGGGAATCTCTATCTCATATGGCACAGGCCATTACGATGCAAGCTCAGGCTATGATTGCCAAAGTCAACCGATAGGATGTTCAAAGAGAAAATCCAATGATTCATCGCATGGATGACAGGCCTCAAGATTCAGGAGGATGAACCCTCATATATTTATAGGGTCTAAGACATCAGAGGATCCTTAGGAGTTTGTGGATGAGGTACATAAGATTGTGGTGGCTATGGGGGCCACAAAAACGTAGAAGTGAGAACTGACTTCTTATCAACTCAAGGATGCTACATAGACTTTGTGCAAGATGTGGCAAGATAGCCGAGTTTTGGGTGGAGTTCCAATCAATTTGGAGCTGCTCAAGCCAACATTTCTAGAGAGATTCTTTCCCGGAGAGATGAAGGAAGAAAAGGTTGAGGAGTTCATCAACCTTAAACAAGGTTCTATGACACTCAGTGAGTATTCCCTGAAGTTTTTTAAGTTATCAAAGTATGTTACTTTGCTTACTATTAAATATCAAGAATGAGGAGAGTACTGATCCTTGTTGAAATTATCAGGGTATTCTACCTCCCTGGTTTTGAACAATAGCGATGAGATGAGCAGGTTCCTCACGGGAAGCAATGGAGACCTAGAGGAGGAGTGTTGGTCTGAGATACTCCATGATAATAATGATCTTTACAAGTTAATGGTGCATGTCTAACAGGTAGAGGACAGCCGCAAGAAGAGAGTTGTTCGTGATTTTAGGAGGCCTAGGCATCAAGATCAGGAAGGACCCAGCCATGGAGGCCACAAAAGAAATTTTGGCGTCCGTGAGCATCCCATGTTAAAAAAGGGGCAATAGAATTCTGGGAACTCTAACTCTTTGAGGAGTACAACATCTAGAGGAGGCAGACCTGAGCCCAATAAGGGCAATGGAGGTGAGATGCAACGTCCTAAGAAGAATTGTGCTAAGTGTAGCCGATCCCACAATGGAGAGTGAAGACAAGGCTCTAATGCCTGCTTTAGTTTTAGTGAAAGTGGGCACATGTTAGGGACTGCCCGTAGAACAAAGGTCAGGATCGAGGTAATGCTTATCCTAGGCCAAATCCACAGGGTGCAGCAGCACACGAGCTTCCAAAGAGGAACATGTTCTATACCCTGAATGGCAGGGAGGTGCAGGAGAAGTACGCTGATGTGGTCATTGTTATGCTGCAAGTATTCTGAACTTCTGTTTATACTTTACTTGATCCAGAGTCTACGCTTTCCTTTATAACTCGTTTGCTTTCTCTCCCTTGTAAGATATTGCCTGAAGTTCTTCATGACCCTATTTTTGTTAGTACACCTTTAACCTATAGTTGTAAGTTGTAACACTATGTTATATATTGGTTGAGTTACCCATGTATGATTTTTGATGTTATTATTGGCATAGAATGGATTCACATTTGTTATGCTTACTTGGACTATAGTAGTTGTGTGGTGGGATTTTACTTCCCTAATAAAGAAGAGTTCATATTGAAGGGGTAAAATTCGAGTCGTCCTAATCCCTTTATTTCAAATCTTAAGGCCAATAAAATGATGTCCAAGGGTTTACTATGTCATCTTGTGAGTGTTAATGATTTAGAACATGATATTCCTTCCATATACTCAGTCATTGTAGTGAATTAGTTCCTAGATGTGTTTCATGAAGATTTTCCTGGAGTCCCTCCCTTTCGATTGATTGACTTTGGTATCGACTTAGAACCCGATACTAAACTAATCTCAATTCCTCCTTATAGAATGTCTCTAACAGAACTCAAAGAGTTGAAGCTACAGTTGAAAGATCTCAGTGATAAGGGTTTCATTCAGCCGAGCCTATCCCCTTGGGGTGCTCCGGTGTTGTTTGTAAAGAAGAAAGATGGGACCCTTAGAATGTGTATTGATTATCGGCAGCTCAAC